GGCCTAGTGACTCAGGGGGAGGATGGGGCGTTTCAAGGGAGCTGTGAGTCATGGGGGTGAGCACCATCACAAGAGTTGAGCATATTTCCCCCACTCTGGGCAGAACTCTTCCTATCCCACTTCCCCTGGGTGTTCGACCTCCTTAAACAGGAGCCTATGAATAGAGAATACTGGTAGAAGGGATGAAGCAGCCTGATCTCAGACAGAGTTCAGAGACACAAAGAATGGTGTTTAGGTCTCTGAATTAAAATGTATCCCTATCTCAAGAGCCCTTGGAGTCCCTCTAATGAAGGCAAAAGAACATCAATATAGAGTAAGAGAAGAAAAGAATACCATTTCTCGATGGAAGGAGGTAGGATCCCATTTCAGGACTTTTTCATCCGCTCTGGCATGAAGGAAGCTTCCTAGGCTCCACCAGTTCTCTGGTCTCTGGAGCTCTGGTTTGCAAAGCAAGGAGAGATGAATGAGAGTGGGGATATTTGGGGACTGTGTAGGAAAAGCAGGCTGATTTGGGCGGTTGTCCAGCTGTGTCTATGAAAGCCCTAGGACGTCTTATTAACCAGCCTCATTAGAGGAAGGGCAGGGGGTGAGAAGTGTGAGGCCTATGCCTTTGAAAGTGTTAAATGGCTGGGCGGGGAGCTGCTTTGTATTCCGGCAGATGTGGGGTTAAGGAGATGGGCGGGGCGACTCTGGGTAGGCCTGCCCCCTGGCAGACCAATGGGCGTGCATCTCTTGGAGGGGGCGTACCTCACACTTGAGGTCGTGGGGAGGCTGGCCTCCGATGGGCCAATGACCATGGTCGCTGCCGTGGAGGGCGTGGTCTGAGGGGGGCGTGGCGGCAGCGGCGGCAGCGGCGGGGGTGTTAGGACGCTGGGCGGGGCGGGCGGACCCATCAGCTGGTAGGAAATGGCCTGTGAGTCAGAGGGGCAGCAGAGTCGGCAGCGCGGAGCCGGGGCGGCCACGGGGAGGGACAGCCGCGGGGAGGGGCGCAACAGCGGCTGGAGGGCTGCGGGCGCCAGGGCCCGCTAGTGTTGCACACGAAGCTGAACAGAAAAGAGCCTAGCAGATCAGGGCTCAGCCTGAGCCACCCTTTGTCTGGGTTGGGGGCCCGTGGCGGGGTGGACCCGGGATTCGAGGGGAGGGTCGGGACGGAGGGGCCCGGAGCAGCGACCGCCGTGGCGGAGCCAATTTGGGAGCGGGGTGAGTGTGTACTAGGGGGAAAAAAGCAAATCTACGAAGCTCCAGTAGGGAATGGGGCCTGTCCCAGGCTGTGGGGAGGAGAGAAGGGTGAGAAAATCCTAGTGGGGGTGGGGGATCGTCCAGAATAAGTAGTCCAGAAACCGGGGTGAGTCTGACGGGTTCAATTTGGAGTTGGTGCTAAGATCTGCTCCCTCTCTACTGAGGGTGGAGAGCTCTAGGCCAGTGGCCAAGGGGGCAGTGAGCAGAGGTTGACCTTCCTACCCACAGTGGTGATTCATGGAAACAAGCCCCCTAGCTTGTGTGAATGTGTGTAGGGACAAAATGTAGAGCCCCTGGCAGCAGTTCTCTCTGAACTGAATGAGGGTAGAAAGCACATGGAGAGGAGTTTTCCTTCCATCCTCCTTAATCAGTGTAGAAATAGATATCTTTAATATTGAAGGGAAGGGGAGAGTGAGCCTGGAAACTTGTAACTATACCAGTACCCACCCCACCTCCCAGGCCTAGCAGGTGTCTGAGGGTACAGACCCCATGGTATTCTGGGACTTGTTGTTTTTGCTGGCTTTGCTCCTTTGGCATGTTGGGAGCTGTAGTCTGCCAGTCAAAGCCTGGCACAACTGTCTGACGCTAGCTACTGCCTACCCCTTGCACAGAGAGGCGGTTTGGCCTACCCTTCCCCCAAAGTCCTGCCCCATGAGTCAGCTTGAAGCCATGGTCTAGAGCCAGACTGGCTAGGTGGCAAGGAAGTGAGTCTTAGAGCTTTTCATTGACAGGGCAGGAACTGAGAGAGCTTTGGGGTAATGAGCAGATGCCAGGCATGCTGGGGTCAAGTAGGGCATCATGTCATCACCTGGCTTCCCCAGGGTAAGGACTCGAGGCCAACTGGAATGACCTGGAGGTGGGAATACTAAGGAAAAGGCCCTTCCTGAATCTGTATGGCTTGGGTAGAGGAAAGGAGGGGTAGAGAGAGTACAGTTTGTACCCTCTGACAACACTGCCATTGGCATTCTGCCCTTTCCAGCCACCCCACCCACAGGGAACCAGAATTTTCTTAGGGATCCCAGTTCTAATGAGAACTTGGTGAACTAGGTTAGTGTGGGACACAATAATGGGAACTTAGTGTAGAAGAGCTTTTCAATCTCTGGGTGCAAATCTTCTTTCCCTCCCTGCCCTCCTCTCCTGCCTCTGTTATTGCTGATTCTCCCTGTATTAATTAATCTCTGTTTCTCTCATTCTGGGAGTTTTTCTCTTCATTGTCAGGACTGCTGCCCAGATCTCTGGGACTTGCATTCTACTTTTTTGAGTGCTGCTATGTGCTTATTCCTGTGCTTAAAGTTGGGTGGAGTGTGACACAGACCTATCCTCAAGAAACCAGTTTATAAAATGTCTTACAGAGCAGGCAGAACTGTCACTGGGTTACAAGAGATAGTGATACTGCCATAGGTGAGGTCTCAGAGGAGAGAGAGATTTGTGGTCTGGGGTGGCCAGAGTAGGCTTTCTGAAGGGGATGGCATTTGGTCTAGCCAAGGAGGAAGGGTAGGGCTTGGGGAGGCAAACAGAGGGCATTTCTTGAAGGAGAAAGGGCATTGTGGATGTCAGGTAGCACAGGCTCCTGCCCAGAGGAGAAACTTGATTCTGGGAGCAGTATTTCCTCTCATGAAGGAAAATAGTCTTTAACTTGACATTCTCCTCACCCAGCATGGGCTACTGAAGGTGGACTAGTCGGTGAAGACCTTGTGCCCTAGCAAAAAAACAGTGGTTTGGGGTTTTGGGTGTTGGATATGTGTTGGTCGTGTTGGGAGGAGTAGAAAGGTACCCCTAGTTGCTTCCAGCTGTCTGACTGCCACTGCCTTATCTATAGTTTGCAGGGCCTAGGGGGAGGGGTAGACCCTGAAAAGTGCCTTCTGGCAGTGCCTCCCCCCAACACTTCAGAGTTGTTTTTGGTTAGATTTGTTGCCTCTAGTTAAAGGGACAGACTGCCTGCCTGCGGCTATTGGGAGTTTAAGGCTGAATGGCCTACTTTGAGGTGACTTAAGGTTTGTACCTCTAAGGAGTGCTTGGGGGGGCGGTGGGAATGAGTTTCTGCAAGATCTCTGCCCTTAGGGCTCTGGGGTGGTACTTGTCCCTTTGGAAAGAGACATATGGGAAGAGTTGTGCAATTTGGTGGCCTTGACTAGAGGGCTGAATTCTTGCCCTGGCCATCTCTCAGCTGGCATGTTCTCTTGGTTCTTGGGGTATCTTATTCCCCCTCCCATTCAGGACAGGAGTCCCCAAGATGGCAAGTAGTCATCCTGCCTCAACTTATCAGATCCTTACTACATTGAGCCAAGACCTGCCTCTCTATGACTCCTTAGGTAGCCCAGCTTTACCCTCTGGGCCCTGGATCTCAAAACTGTCCCTTCTGTTTCTGAAGAGCTCCTCATATGGGAGGAAAATGTCCTGTGGTGTATCCTATTGGTCCACAATAGGAGAGGAGACTTACCACTGACTGCAGGGATCCTGGCTTATGTCTGTTTTTCACTCCTTAGGGTCCGGCTGAGCCCAGGAGCTGCACGGAATGGTGGCAGTCACCTTGCCAGTGCAGCGGGCATGGACCAGACTGCAAGCTAGGAGAGCAAGGCATCAGTCAGGAAGAGGGAACACACAACTAGGCTTAAGACCTCTTCATCGGGGTGAGTGCCAGGGAGAGGGAGGGGGAGCAGGTCCAGTAAGAAACCTAAGCTAAACATGTCACCCTTTCAGAAGTTCTGAGGTGGCCTCGGTATTCCATTAATCCATCTGGAGATTTGGATACCTTTACCCTTAGGACTCTGCAAGATCACCTCTTCAGGCCAGGGGAGGATCTGAAACTCAGCTGGGGGAAGAAGATTCACTGATTCCTCTGACTACCTTTTCTTCTCTTCTCTTGCACAGATGTTCCCAGGCCCCCCAGCCCAGGCCCAGCATAAAGGCTGTGGGGGGGGGCCCCCCTGACCCAAGTGGGGGCTTCATGCGCCACGTGCAGGCGGAGCCATCTCCATCCTCAGAGACAGAGGCTGGCCCCTCGCAGCCTGCAGTCAGGCAGGGGGCCCTCCAGGGTGGCCTGCTCATGGGCTATAGCCCAGCAGGGGGGGCAACATCCCCCGGGGTCTACCAGGTATCCATCTTTTCCACTCCAGCTGGTACCTCTGAGCTGCATAGGGCCCTGAAACGGCCAGCCCCGCCCATTGAGGGTCCCAGGGAGCTGAAGAGAGGCCCTGGGCTGGGGGCCAGAGAGGGACTGCCTCCTGAAGAACCATCTACAGTGGGGCTTTTGGGCCCAGAGGGGCTGGGGCTGGGACTGGGTGTGGCCAGCCAGCATTTCTGCCATCATGGCCTCTGTGTTGTAGAACAAGAAGGTAGCTCCACCTCACCTTGGACTTCAGTGGCCCAGAGTCCCCCCTGGTCCCCATCAAATGCTTCCTGCAATACTTTGCACACCAGAGACTGGGCTTCCCCAGATCTAGGGGGACAGAGGTCCCTGGGGGAGTCCCCAGGGCAAGCCCCTCCAGGCCAGCTGCACACACTTGACACTGATTTGCACAGTCTTGCACAAATAAGGGGTAAGAGCCCAGTGGCTGGGGTGGGCAATGGGGGCAGCCCCTGGCCTAGGGAGTCCCCTGGCACTGCCAATGGGCACAGTCCCGAGCACACACCCCCTGGCCCTGGACCTCCAGGCCCCTGCGCCACCAAGCGAAGGCTGCTTCCTGCTGGAGAAGCCCTGGATGTCAGCTCTGAGGATGAGGGGCCAGCCCCTCGGAGGCGCCGGGGAACCCTGGGTCACCCTCCTGCTGCCAACAGTTCTGATGCCAAAGCCACACCCTTCTGGAGCCACCTGCTGCCTGGGCCCAAGGAGCCTGTGCTGGTAAGCCAGGAGAGGAGGTAGTCTACTTTTTTAAAATTTATTTATAATTATAGTTGACATACAATATTATATTAGCTTCAGATATACAATATAGTGATTCGACATTTATGTACTTTATAAAGTGATCACCACAGTAAGTCTAGTAGTAACCGTCTGTCACTGTACATAGTTATTAGATTATTGACTCTATTCCCTATGCTGTCTGTACTCTACATCCCTGTGACTTATTTTATAACTGGAAGTTTGGACTTCTTAAATCCCTTCCCGTTTTCTGCCTAACCCCAACCCTCTACCTTTGGGGTTGTTCTACTCTTAAGTGTGAGAAAAAGTGAAGGCCTGGGTAGATGTTCCTATGAGAGCTTGTGATGAGCCCCTGCTCCCAAACACATCTGGCCTTCACCCAATCTCTTTACCTAATCTTTCCTCTCCACAGGACCCAACAGACTGCAGTCCCATGGGGCGGAGGCTAAAAGGTGCCCGTCGCCTGAAGCTGTAAGTGAACAGCTTCTACCTCTGCCCTGTCTCTGGAAAATGGGGACAGAGGTCTGTAATTCTCTTTCTTATCCCTGGGTAAGGGACCCCAGGGCAGGAACCCTAGGTAATGGTAAAGTGTGGGGCCTAAGGACATGAACAGGCATCCCAGAAAACCTCAAGCCAACCTGCTGTGTGTCCCCTCCCCTACCAGGAGCTCCCTTCGAAGCCTCCGGAAGGGGCCAGGCCTGCTGAGCCCCCCCAGTGCCTCCCCTGTTCCTACCCCCACCATCAGCCGTACCCTGTTGGGCAACTTTGAGGTAGTTTCCCTTGGATTCTGTGATTGGGGGACCTTGGGGGAAGTGGGATGATGGAGTGTGGCTTGGATGGATAATGAAAAGAGTTGGCATCTCTCTCATAGTGTCTTCCCACCCCAGGAATCATTGCTGCGAGGACGCTTTGCACCATCTGGCCACATAGAGGGCTTCACGGCAGAGATTGGAGCTAGTGGATCCTACTGCCCCCAGCATGTCACGCTGCCTGTCACTGTCACCTTCTTCGATGTTTCTGAGCAAAATGCCCCGGCTCCCTTCCTGGTATGATCTAATTTCAACCCAAAATCAGCTCTTGAAGAGGAGGTATTCTTTAGGTGTTCCTCACCTAGGAGAGAGTCAGGGCGGTAGGGAGAACTCTAGTGTGGGGCAGGGGCCAGCTCCCAGAGTGAGATTGTGGAGATGGATGAGTAGGGCTCTCTCCGTGCCCACCTTGGCTGATGGCTCCGTGGCCTTCCCAGGGCGTCGTGGACCTGAACACCCTGGGGAGGAAGGGTTACAGCGTGCCCAAGGTGGGCACCATCCAAGTGGTGAGTTTTCCCCGAGGGAGAATGGGAGTGGGGAAAGGAAAACAGCACCTAAACCTTACCAACCTTGCCTATCCTGTCCCCAGACCTTATTTAACCCCAACCAGACTGTGGTGAAGATGTTCCTTGTGACCTTTGACTTCTCGGACATGCCTGCTGCCCACATGACCTTCTTGCGCCATCGCCTCTTTTTGGTGCCTGTGGGTGAGGAGGGAAATGCTAGTCCCACCCGCCGCCTCCTCTGCTACTTGCTGCACCTCAGGTGAGAACAGGGCCTAGGGACAGCTGGGAAGGCCCAGGTATCTTTCCCCAATCCAGGTATCCCTTCCCTGAATAGGATCTCATCTTGCTTCTCTACTGTCTGGCTCCTTACTTTGATCATCCTGTTCTCTAGGTTCCGGAGCTCCCGCTCAGGCCGCTTAAGCCTGCATGGAGACATCCGTCTGCTTTTTTCCCGTCGGAGCCTGGAACTGGACACAGGGCTCCCCTATGAATTGCAGGCTGTGACTGAGGCCCCTCACAATCCACGTTATTCACCTTTGCCCTGATTGCCAGTGCCCTGCACCCACGTGGGCCACATACCAGCCCATCCTGCTACATCCTCGACAGAGCAAACATGTGGAGAGGTGGCAAGAGAACTTTCAGGCTTGAATTAAAGCCCTCACCATGCTCATGCCCAAATTGATTATTTGGGTGTTTAAAGCTTCTGATCATTACCACAATTTGCCCTACTCTGGGTTCTCCACGTGCCTGCCCGCCCCCCCTTTGGAATTCCCAATTCAGCTTAGGTAGTGGGGAGGAACCAGAGCTACCTGGAGGTTGTCCCAAGTTCCCAGGCAAGTCATGCCAGCGTTGCCTCCCTGTCCTGGGCAGGGGCCACTTATTATTTTATTTATTTTTAATTTATAATTTATTCAAATTGGATTGCCTTGGTAACCTCCCAAACCTGACAATTGGCATTGCCCCTCCTTTTTTCCCACTCTCAGATACTGCTCTAGCTTCGAGAGTTGAAGAGGCTGATGTAGGGGCTGAGGGAGAACTGCTCTCCTCAGCTAAGGGCAGAGAGGTTATCCCAGAAGGACTGAGTCACTAGCCAAAGACTCAGCTTCTCCTGCCCTTTCCTATTTTCTTCACTTCCCCTACCCTCTGACCCCTCTCTGAAAGACAACTTATGTGTGTGTGTGTGTGTGTGTGTGTGTGTGTGTGTGTGCACATGCTTGTGTGTGTGTGGTATGTGTGTGAGAAAGAGAGTGTGCATCCATACACACACACATGGGGGTTAACTGCCCCTCATCTAGGGCTCCAGACTCCAGTTGCCCCTTTCCTGCTTGTGTCTCCTTGCTTGGGGTCCTGACTGAGGAAGGTGTTTAAGGGGCAGAGTCAGGGCCAAGGATTGGGGTGCCTCCTCTCACCTGGCCAGACTCTGACCCACCTACCTCAGCTGGGGTGAGGGACACCCCTCAGACTCAGTCATGTGGTTCCCAATTACCCTATTCCCCACTCCAGACTCTGACCCAGCCTTAGCCCTGACTCCTGGGGCTGGGCTGAGGGGAACAAGCATTTGTTGAAACTTGAAAAAAGAAAAAGAAAAAGAAAAATATTGTACCTGGTACTTTTTTTTTTTTTAAGAAAAAAAAAGAGGAAAGAAAGAAAGAAAAGAAAGAAAGAGAAAGAAAGAAGAAAAAGAAAAGAAAGAAAAGAATAAATTCTTTTTTGGAAACTTGAGCTAAGCCCTACTTTTTCTATTGGGGAGAGCATGGGAATGAGAATGGGAATGGGGATCTTAACTGGAGCTGGGACTCTGCCCTTTCTCCCAGATAAGGGGCCTGAGGCCATGAGGTTTTCTGTAAGACTCTGCTGATTCTTAGGACCTGGTCTTGCTCTTTTCAGATAATGGAGTTGTGTGGTAGGGAAAATTCAGCTATAAAAGCTGATCTCTCTGAATGTGGATATGGATTCTTATACTGGTTCTATTGTTAATGATTTTAGCTCCTCTGCGCTTCAGTGCCCTGATATGTAAAATGCAAGTTGACCATGCAAGTCTGTTAAAGGATATGCCACAGGACCAGGGATGTCTGTAGTGTAGCATGCGCCGAACTAGGCTTAATGTTGGGGCTTGTGCTGGACACTTTATGCAAGGGGACCAGGGTCTATCAGGCCCTGGGAATAGGAAGAAAAAGCTATGATGCCCTGGGAAATGAGGGAAGGGGGAAATCTCAGTTCAATGACCGGGTAATGTTAGGTCCAGTCACTATGGCAACAGGAATGGGGTCAGTCCCCTGTGGGAGGGCTGCTTATAACACAGAAGGACTGCCAGAGAATGTCACTATGGCAACCATGGCTAAGAGTCAGCTCCAATCCCCTGGTCGCTATGGTGACAGAATGGGGCGGTTATACGCTCAGAAGAGTAAACTGAGTCTCGAGAGGGGGTAAACAACTCAGTAGGTGGTGGTATGGGGCCATCTGCACATGGAAAATAGCTTTCATTTTGGACACCATGTCCGGGATCTTGGCCTTGATCAGCAAGAACAAGAAAGAACTCCAGCCTTCAGCACTCTCTAGGTCTGAGTTTCCCAAGGAACAACTTGATGCACCGTTTCGCCAAGTAACGCTGATTGGCTGAGTGTGGAATGGGGGTGGAGGGAGAGAGAGAGAAAGGAAAAGACGGCCGGAAGTACATCCGGCGGAGTGAAAACAGGAGGTAGAAAGTTCAGATCCGGGCTTCTCGAATGACCGCTCTGCTCCGCGTCTCGTTGGTTCCGGAGGTCGCTGCGGCTGTGGGAAATGCTGGCACGCGCAGCGCGGGGAACTGGGGCCCTTTTGCTCAGGGTAAGAACGAGGCAACCTTCTTCAAAGGTTGGGCCAGAGATCACCTTGGTGCTCAGCTAAGAAGGAGAGGGATTCTAAATTTGGAGAACTGAGGTCAGAGGTCATGGTTCTCACGTGAGTTTCTCTCAGAGGATCCTTTGGGGTGGCGGTTTAGGGAGATTCCTTTGGAACAGGCTCCTAGAGGGGTGGGGTACCCAGCTGGCTGGGATCTCTGTCAACCTTCGTCTACCCGTTAGGGCTCCGTGCAGACTTCTGGCCGTGCTTCGCGCCGCGCCTCCTCCGGATTGCCCCGGAACACCGTAGTACTGTTTGTGCCACAGCAGGAAGCCTGGGTGGTGGAGCGAATGGGCAGATTCCATCGGATCCTGGAGCCTGTAAGAACCTCTACTGCCCACCCCTAGGCATTCTGATGCCCAGTTCCCTCACGACATTGGGGGATGGGGGTGGGACCTCCTTGGGGCTTGCCCTCACCATTGGCTTGCAAGTCCCCAGGCGAGGCCAAACCAGGCAGGGCCTAGGCTTCTGACTGTCATAGCCATGTTCCTGCCTTTTCCTATTGCCCTAGCATCCCACAAGTCCCATTCTTGGGAATCTCTCCTACCTATTCTCTCAGCTCCACTTCTCTGCATGGAGAAAGCTACTCTGCTGGCTCCCATTCCCTTGACTCTCCCATCCATTCAGGCGCCCAGCCTAACATTCCTATTTTTTCAGGCTTCCCTACCATTGACACCCTCAACCTTTACTTTTCTGGGCGTGTTATATGTTGATTCCCTGCTCACTTGAGGCCTAGCTTGGATCCCAACCCCCATCCTTCTGAAGACCCATGACTCTTCTTCCTAGGGCTTGAACATCCTCATTCCTGTGTTAGACCGGATCCGATATGTGCAGAGTCTCAAGGAAATTGTCATCAACGTGCCTGAGCAATCGGCTGTGACTCTTGGTGAGGGGTGCGGGTGACATGGGAGCTCTGAGGCCATTAGAATGTGGTTGCTGGAAATCCAGAGCTTAGGAGAAAGAGCTGATTGGGACCTGAGGCCTCACTTTCCTCCTTTTCTCTCCTGCATCTGCAGACAACGTAACTCTGCAAATTGATGGAGTCCTTTACTTGCGCATCATGGATCCTTACAAGGTACCTGCCTTCTGCTTTATTCAGCTCCTGAGTTAACTGTCTTCACTAAAATCTTACATCTAAGCATCTTACACTATCTATGCTCCTTTCAGGCAAGCTATGGTGTGGAGGACCCTGAGTATGCTGTCACCCAGCTAGCTCAGACAACCATGAGATCAGAGCTTGGCAAACTCTCTCTGGACAAAGTCTTCCGGGTAAGGGGATCTGAGCCAGAGTTAGGGTTTGAAGATTCATGCTTGCCATGCGTCAGTCCTTTCCGGGAGTTAAGATCAGTCTTAGGCTCTTCTCAGCTTAGACTCATGAGTGTGTTGAAGCTTACACCGCTCTTACATCTCTCTTCCTCCAGGAGCGGGAGTCCCTGAATGCTAATATTGTGGATGCCATCAACCAGGCTGCTGACTGCTGGGGCATCCGCTGCCTCCGTTATGAAATCAAGGATATCCATGTACCACCCCGGGTGAAAGAGTCCATGCAGATGCAGGTGGGGCCAAGGAAGACTTCTGGTTGCTCTAGTTGCATGGAGACCTAGACTCCCTTCCCTATTGTGATAGGTACAGTTGCCAATGTCTATGAGAGTTTACTCTGACTTGTTGATTGGGGTTGCTGGGGGCTTCCAGGTGGAGGCAGAACGGCGGAAACGGGCCACAGTTCTGGAGTCAGAGGGGACTCGAGAGTCGGCCATCAATGTGGCAGAAGGGAAGAAGCAGGCACAGATCCTGGCCTCTGAGGCAGAAAAGGCTGAACAAATAAATCAGGCTGCAGGTCAGCAGAGGGTAGAGCCTAAGAGAGGAGGTTGGTGCTGGGACAGGAACTTTGGGGTACTTTGACCTCAGGGGTCAATCTCTGTCTCTTCTTTTCCAGGAGAAGCTAGTGCAGTTCTGGCCAAGGCCAAGGCTAAAGCCGAAGCTATTCGGATCCTGGCTGCAGCTCTGACACAACATGTGAGAGGCCCCTGGTGGGAATGGGAGGCAGGAATTGACAGTGGAAGAGGTTCTTTTATCTACCCTTGGGAGAAGTTCCTGCCTTTGTGGGTTCCCTTGAGCAGGATTACATGATATCTTGTATTATGATCTGCATATCATCTTTTCAGAAACTTGATTTTTCATCTGTACTCTCCCACTCTACCTTACCCCCTTCTCTTAAGTCTGTAATCTCTGATTTTATCCCTACTGTGGCCACAGAATGGAGATGCAGCAGCCTCACTGACCGTGGCTGAGCAGTACGTCAGCGCGTTCTCCAAACTAGCCAAGGACTCCAATACTATCCTGCTGCCTTCCAACGCCGGTGATGTCACCAGTATGGTGGCTCAGGTTAGAGTGCCCTGAGAACCTGGCAGAGACTGAGACCCAACCCTATGACCACTACCACCACCACCATTTATATACCAGAGAGGTCTTCAGAGCGCCTTGAGACCTAGACCTCTTTTCATTCCTTGTAGAGAACAAATCTCCGAGAATGAGATATCCCACACATCCCTGAAGATAAGGAAGCTCTTGAAACATCTTTTTTTTTTTTTTTTTTTTTTTTTTTTTTTTTTTTTTTTTTTTTTTTTTTTTTTTTTTTTTTTTTTTTAAAGATATCTATACTAGTATTCTGAGAGTGGCCCTACTCTAGTAGTTTATACGATTCCTAAAACCAACTCCAAAACTTATAAGACTGATGTTTGAGAGAGAGAGAAATTAAAAACAAGCTGACTGACTACAGCCCCATCTTCTTTTTAGCTATTG